ATCACAGTAGTTGATGCTTGGTTGTCAAAGTGGAAATTAGGCCTTTTCCCCTAGCAAATCATCAAGGTAAATACCATTCACAAAGAACAAATGTCTGTCTTTGGGAAATGTTTCAGAGCTGAGTAAGAGCATCAGGAGCCCCGCAAGAGATATTGTTGATTCCTAAAATGGTCATAAGACCATAAAGCATAAGAGAGTTATTTTGGGTAGGGGAGAGTGGTGATTTCTTGAGTTGGAAAGCCAGACTGGGATACCATTGAGGTATTAAGGGGTCTTCTGTGGCAGGAGACACTCACGGATGTTGATATTGATGATAACAGCCTGTACTCCACAGGGATACCGACACCAGAAGGTTAAGTAAGCAAGCACTGAAACCACAAAGCAGAACTGAAACAAGAAAGAGCCTTTTGCTAGATGATAGTGTTGCCAGGAAGATGTACAGAGGTTCTGTCCTAGTCGATCAAGTGAAGGGTATGATGCCTCTGGATCTGATTCAGAAGAGATGGGACATCGTTGTTGTCCACTGTGCAGAGCTTAACCTGAGGAATTGTGGAGGAAACAAATTTGATTGGCCACTGAAGGAAACAAGGACTAGAAATGTAAGGTAGGGTAAGAATTCTAGCAGAGGTACCAACTGTCTAAACAGTGATTACAAAACTGGCAATGAGAAAAAAAAGAACAGAGCAAAAGGACCAGCGTGAAGGAAGCATTTGACCAGTTAAGGAAGAGAGAGGAAGACAAAATCTGTTGCATCATGCAGAAGGGCCAGTGAAGTGTGTGTGTGTGTGTGTGTGTGTGTGTGTGTGTGTGTGTGTGTGTGTGTGTGCGTGTGTGTGTGTGTGTGTGTGTGTGTGTGTGTGGTTTTGGTTTTTGGTTTAGTTTTGGTTTGGACATTTTTGGAAGCCCCTAAGAAACAGAAAGGAATCAAGATAGGAGACAGACAATGTGTATCTCTTCCCCAGAGATGTCCTCCAGTGTCTGCAACTCTTTGGAAGAGTTAGAAGATATGCTTTAAGACTGGAGTGGCGTCAAGCCCTGCCTGAGGCTGCTTGTCCTGGGAAAGTAGAAGAAACCACGGGCCTGCCTAGTGCCATGCACGTTGGGTGCCATTATGATGAACAAATTTGTGGTAGGGTATAGGAGAGAGAGAGGCAGAATGGTTCATGTTCTGTGGAGAGAGGCAGATCTGAAGAGGTAAAGGTGGTGAGGAACAGGCTGAAGGCCAACTTGCCACCCATGGCCATGGTGATGTCCTGGCCTGGGCTGCTGCCAAGGACCACTACAGGCCACAAGTTTGCCTGGGTTCTAGGTTGCCATCTGTGGCCGTGTTGGTGCCCAGGGTTCATGCTGCCATCAGGGCCGTACAGATTGGGGTGGCCTGCACAGCCAGAGGGGGCCAAGGTGACTTCTGGGCCCAAGCTGTGGCCCAGGCCCATGTCTGGGGTCTGTGGCCTGACCGCAGTCAGGTCTGTGTTGATGTCCATGGCGCCTACTACCACTGAAGGCCAAGCTGCTGCTGCTGGCCCTCACTGGAAAGCTGATGCATGCCCTACCCCCTCATTGGCCCTGGGATGGCTGCCCCATGACCTCAGCATGGGAGAGTTGGCCCAGCCCCTCATAGGAGAGCTGCCTCCCCTGCACTTGGGAAAGTTGGCCCTACCCCTCACCACAGGTGTGGGAGAGCTGGCTCCGCCTGTCACCTGAGGGGGCCCGGACTGACCAACTCAGCTATCACCCAGGCACATATCCAGAGCTTTGAGTTGGTACTCCCCAACATCTACCCTGTCTGTGACCTGCTGGAGCTTGTGAAGGGACTGGTCCTGCAGAACCATAGCCAAAGGATCTCCATGACTGGGCAACAGCAGGATATCTAAGAGAAGATTCCATGAGGGTCCAGTATTGACGGTGTACCAGAAGCCAGAGACCTTGAACCTGACCAACAACACGTTACACCATGAACATTTGCAAGCAAAGCTGTGTGGACAAAAGGGAATACTGCATGACACACCACAGCTCCCAGTGCCACTGAGATGAATGGAGAGGTGATGAAGAAGTGGAAAAGATGGAGGTTTGAAGTGGGGTTTTTTGTTGTTGGTGGTGGTGGTGGTTGGTTGGTTGGTTTTGGCTTGTTTGTTTGTTTAATATTCTTATTTGTGCCGGGCGGTGGTGGTGCACACCTTTAATGCCAGCACTTGGGAAGCAGAGCCAGGTGAATCTTTGTGAGTTCGAGTCCAGCCTGGTCTACAGAGTGAGATCCAGGACAGGCTCCAAAGCTATACAGAGAAACCCTGTCTCGAAAAAAACAACAACAACAAAAAAAATTCTTATTTGTATTTCTTATTTTTTTTCCTTATTTTTATTTCGTTTTTACTACTTCTTTTTAAGTTTTTCTTTGAGGGTGGGACGCTACAAGGGTGAAGGACAAATACGAAGGGACTGAGAAATGAGTGGGATTGGGGTGCATAGTGTGAAATCCCCAAAGACTCAATAAAACAACTATGTTTTAAAAAAGAGACTGAAGTGGCATACAGGCTGTGAAGGTGGAATTGAAGAGGAATATGCCGGATCCAACTGTGACAGAGACTTTTCTCGCCAGCAGAGGAAACTGTCAGATGGAGAAAGAGCTGGGAGGTGGGCTGGGCTGCTCAGGAATGAGCTGACACAAAAATCATCCTTCAAAGATGAATTTTATTAGGAGAAAAGGCCTTGCGACATGGGAGCCACGATAGGGCCTTGAGGTGGGAGAGCATCAGAAAGGCTCAACACACGCCATCAAAGGCAACGTGACGGGGGCTTCAGGGGAAGAAGGGCTGTCTCTTTAAATCCTGGAAAGGAACTTCACTAAAAATGATAGCTTAAAATAAGAATAAGAACTATCTAGCCAGATAGACTTCAAGGACAAGATGATAAGGAAGTGGGTAGAGAAGAACTTTCTGGAAAAAAAGATCCCCTGAAGAAAAAAAAAAAAAACACCTAACTTTCATATCCTTTCACATAAGCTAGAGTCATCGGGGAAAGAGGAGCCTAAGATAGAAAAATGCCTCCATCAAATCTGTGGGGGCGCTTTCTTGATTAATGTTTGATATGGGAGGTCTCAGTCCACTGTGGGTAGTATCATCCCTAGGCCAGTAGTTCTGGAGCAGATAAGAAAGCAAACGGAGCAAGCCATGAGTAGAAAGCCAGTAAGCAGCACTCCTCTGTTTTCTGTGTCCAAGTTCCTGCCCTGGTTGAGTTCCTGCCTTAGCTTTCCTCAATGATGCACTACAACTGGAGTATATAAGTCAGATAGACCCTTTCCTCCCCAAGTCACCTTTGGTTGTAGTGGCTTTATTCCAGCAATAGAAAGCAAACCAGAACATGGTGACAGGAAGTTCCACATCACATGATTTAGTCTGGGATAGCCTACTTGACAAGCACAGAGGATCTAAGTAATGAATGTGGCCATAAATTAGGGATTGTAAAACACAGTGTACCATCAAATACCTCCTAAATAATTATGACTTAAGCATGTATTAGAAACTGAGAAATGGCTCATTGCCTAAGAACATATACCTTTGTAGAGAACCTGAATTTTGTTCCCAGGCCACCAGCTCCAGGGAATCCAGTGCTCTCTTCTGGACTCCATAGGTACCTGCAGTTACACACGCACAAGCCCCACCCCCACCTCCAACCCCTCCACACACACACATATACATTTTTTTTGGTTTTTTTGAGACAGGGTTTCTCTGTGTAACAGCTCTGGCTATTCCTGAACTCGCTTTGTAGACCAAGCTGGCGCCGAAATCACAGAGACCTGCCTGCCTCTGCCTCCCGAGTGCTGGGATTAAAGGCAGGTGCCTTCACCACCCGGCATGACATATTTTTAAATAAAATGGGTATTTATAAGCACAGATTAGTCTTGTCTTCAGCTTTGGCAAGAGAAGCAGGCTTTCATGGCGGGCAATGATAGGTACAGAGACTTGAAGGTGATCAAAGCGATAAGGCTGACTGGTGAGTGCTCAGCCATAGGTGAGACGTCTTTATCACCTTCTCCAAGGCTTGAGGAATACCACGGAAGAGAGAGAGGGAAGAAAGTAAGACTGGAGGAAGGAGTGGAGTGAGGTGGAACACGGTCTTCCAACCAAAGAACTGCATTGCATTGTTCTTGATCTCACAGCAGCTGTGTTTACTGGCAGAGAACTTGTATAAGACTGACCTGGTCTACACGCTGCCATGCTAGAGAGAGGGATTCAAAGGCCTCACCTCTCCCTGAGCATCTAGGTGATGGAGAGACACTTTCTTCCACTAGGTGAGGGAGAGACATTATCTTCCATGGTATTGATGGAAAAGAAACCATGCTCTTGTAAATAATCCCTCATCCAGTATCTGGAGAAGAGAACGAGTAACACCTAATGGGTCCCAACAAAACAGCATGAACATAGAGAGAGAACTAGCTGTGACGTGGTAGTGGATTAGGAAGAATGGGCAGGACAGAACAGGAGCAATGGGGAGTTTTATGGGATCAAAATAAAAATGTCATAATGAAACCATTGTACCCAATTAATATGTGTGAATAGGATTTTTAAGTGCTCATTTATAAAAGGAAAAATTATCTCCCATTTGAATAATGTTAAAACCATGCATCATGGTCTATACATCTACTTACCTAGTGTTCTGTTGTTGACTCATGGGGTTCCTTTAAAGACAAATCGTGAGTTCTCAACTGAGTAATAAGATTCTTCTAACCCTTACCTTGAGCATTTTCTAGAAAATGAGATTAATTTGGGGTAGATGAAGTTTTCTAGAATTCCACAGCCATTAGAATACTTAATAAGATCTGGTAATGTTCCTTTTCAAGGGAGTATAGCCATCGGTGAGTGATCTTTTTGTTGTTGTTGTTAAGAGCATCTGGTCCTCTGATAAGCCAGGTCAGAATAAGAATCCCAGTCAGGGGCAGATAGTTTTGTTTTGGAATATTAGTAATTATTTTATCTTTGCTTATACTTTCCTGAAGGGTACTTTTTTTTCTGTTCAGCCATTTCATGTAGGGGGAAGACACTGAAAAGTCCTCCCGCTTCAGATCACGGCCCCTTTCCTCTCTCCCATTGAAGGGTACTTTTAAGAACACATAGTTACCAAAAAAAATTTTTTTTACTGTTAAAGTCAGTGAGACACCTTAGAAGTTACTATTAGGGGCTTAGAAGGAGCCCCTTGGCTCTTTCAACTGTTCCTCCAAGTTGCACCACCTGCTAAAATGGGTTAGGGTCTTGCTGATCTTGGAAGCACAGAACGACTTCCTCTTCCGATGACTTCCCTCTTTGCAAGATGTACACTGGTTAGAGGCCAATCATAGCCTCATGGATAAGAGAGCATGTGGTTTTAGAGTGATAAAGCCTTTTGGGATGGTCGCATCATCCCCTGGGACCTGACTAACCAGATTACTAACAGTCCTCTCAGCTCTGTTCTGGTCTGTTTTCCTACTGCTCTGACAAACACCAGGCCAAAAGCAACTCATGGAGAAAAGAGTTCATTTGGCTCACACTCCCAGGTCATGAAAGAAAGCCCCCATCCTGGTCAGCAGTCAGTTTACGAGGCAGGAACCTCCAGAAGAACCAGGAGGGACAGAGAGGAGTCTCAGGGACACATGTGCTGGTGCAGACAGAGACACAAGGGAAGTGGGAGAAGGACAACCTTAGCAGTAGTTGTGGGAGAAGTTCTTGGTCTTATCTTGTGGGCCAGTATGAGGATTCAGATCTAGACAGACAGGTAGGTAATCTTGTTAAGTAATAAGTTTTTCTTGACACTGACCATCCATATAAGGTGCTATGTGTCATTGGAAGTTTAGTGTCTATATGGTCACATAAAACATCCTGAGACACTTGGGCTCAAGCTCCAAGGAGTAGTGCTCTAGTTGTTAAAGTGTGGGACTTTAGCTTTGAAGTTTGGGCCTTCTGTCTCTACACCCTATGATTCTTTTTCTAGTGCTGAGCATGGGAGCTAGGGCATCCCACATGCTAGGCATGCATTCTGCTCCTAAGCAACACCCCCAGAGCAAACCCTATAGCATAATGGAAAACATGGGGCAGTTAGCATGTACTTCGTTCTCTCAAAGATATTAAAAGAAGTAATAATTAATTAAGATAGCAATTAATTAAGATAATAACTAAAACCATTTTTAAAGATAACAGTGTTCTTTAGAATGTCCTTTAACTTACAAATTTGAGATTATAAGTAAACAACAATGTTCTTTATCCCCAAAGCAGACATTCCTAATATAATCAAAAGGCTTGAAATACAAATATAGTTTGAATCTCCTGACTCTTTCTCCATCTACTCTGTTAGATACAGCAGCCTCCGTGCTCTCTCCTGGGTCCCCATGCAAGGTCCCCTGAATGCTGTCACAGGTTTGCAGAGAATCTAATGTAGTACACCAAGGTAACACTTACTCCGCTGCTCCACTGGATAGGGAGTGACTCGAAAGTAGTTTTCTTTCTTTGTCTGTCCATGCAATTCCCGTTCCTTGTTCCAGGCATGACTGCCATTTTCTATTACATAAAATTGGGCATCACCAACACCAACAGTGTGGGGCTCTCCCAGTATAAAGCTTGAATGGGGGCTAGTAGCCATCCAGCCCACAAATGGAATTGTTCATTTTGTTTTGCACTTTTTTTAGCTTTTTTTTATTTTATAACTTAATTTAATTTTACATATCAGCCACAGATTCCCCTGTCCTCCCTCCTCCCCTCCCCCCCCCTTCCCCCAGCTCATCCCCATTCCCATCTCCTCCAGGGCAAGGACTCCCCTGGGGATTCAGCTCAACCTGGTAGATTCAGTTCAGGCAGGTCCAGTCCCCTCCTCCCAGGCTGAGCAAATTGTCCCTGCAAAGGCCCCAGGTTCCAAACAGTCAGCTCATGCACTAAGGACAGGTCCCTATCCTACTGCCTAGGGGCCTCCCAAACAGTTCAAGCTAATCAACTGTCTCACTTATCCAGAGGGCCTGATCCAGCTGGGGGCTCCTCAGCTATTGGTTCATAGTTCATGTGTTTCCACTAGTTTGGCTATTTGTTCCTGTGCTTTTCCAATCTTGGTCTCAACAATTCTCGCTCACACAATCCCTCCTCTTTCTCGCCAATTGGACTCCCAGAGCTCCACCTGGTGCCTGGCCGTGGATCTCTGCATCCGCTTCCACCAGTCATTGGATGAGATTTCTAGCACGACCGTTAGGGTGTTTGGCCATCCTATCATCAGAGTAGGTCAGTTCGGGCTTTCTCTTGACCATTGTCAGTAGTCTATTGTGGAGGTATCTTTGTGGATTGCTGGGGACCTCTCTAGCACTTTGCTTCTTCCCATTCTCATGTGGTCTTCATTTATCATGGTCTCTTTTTCCTTGTTCTCCCTCTCTGTTCTTGATACAGCTGGGATCTCCCGCTCCCCTAAGCTCTCTTTCTCCAGACCCTTGCCCTTCATTACCCCCCCTCACGTCCAGTTTGCTCATGTAGATCTCATCCATTTCTCTGTCACTGGGTGATCCCTGTGTCTTTCTTAGGGTCCTCTTTTCTAGGTAGCCTCCCTGGAATTGTGAGTAGCAATCTAGTAATCCTTTGTTTTACATGTAGTATCCTCCTATGAGTGAGTACATACCATGTTTGTCTTTCTGAGTCTGGGTTACCTCACTCAGGATGATTTTTTTCTAGATCCATCCATTTGCCTGCAAATCTCATGATGTCATTGTTTTTCTCTGCTGAGTAGTACTCCATTGTGTATATGTACCACGTTTTATTTATCCATTCTTCAGTTGAAGGACATCTAGGTTGTTTCCAGGTTCTGGCCATTACAAACAATGCTGCTATGAACATAGCTGAGCATGTGCCCTTGTGGTATGATTGAGCATTCCTTGGGCATATGCCCAAGAGTGGTATAAGTGTTTTTACAGGTTATAGAAACATCTTGTTGTTGCTGGAGAGTTTCTCTCCGGGTCCCACCAAGCTCCCACAGTCCCACAGCCCACTTAGAAAATAAACACACAGACACTTATATTATTTAAACTGTTTGGCCTAATGGCTCAGGCTTCTAGCTAGCTGTTCTTATATCTTAAATCAACCCATTTCTATTAATCTAAAAGTTGCCACATGGCTTGTGGCTTACCGGTATCTTAACATCTTCTCGTGGCGGTGGCTGGCAGCATCTCTCTGTCTCAGCCTTCCACTTCCCACACCTCTCCTCTCTCTTTGTCCCGCCTATACTTCCTGTCTGGCTACTGACCAATCAGCATTTTATTTATCAATCAATCATCCACAGCATCTTGTAGCCAAAAGCTTGTCAGTGTCTTACTCAAATAGAATTTCTATTCTTCAGGTTATCTTTAATCTTCCTACATGAGAACATGGTTAAGAGGATATAAAGTCAAGAGGATAGCATGGTTGGGGTAAAAGGTAGGGGTGGATCTGGGAGGAATTAAGGGAGGAGTGGGTGGTGAGTATGATCAAAACATGTTGTATGAATGTGGTGATTTAAATAAGAGTATACACACACACACACACACACACACACACACACACACACACACACACACCATGGTCTGAGGCATTTGAATACTTGGTACCCACTTGCTGACAATTTGGGTAGTTTTAAGAGGTTGTGGCCTTACTGAAGGAATTATGCCGCTGGGGGCAGCTTTGAGATTTCAAAGCCCATGTACTGTTTCCAGTGCACTCTCAGCACTTGCTGCTTTCTGATCAAGATGTAAGCTCTCAGTTTGCTGCTCCAGCCACATTGGTTGCCTGCCGCCCTGCCTCCCTGGTGTGATGGTGATGGACTCTGGTGGTTTGAGTAAAATAATGGCTCCCATAGGCTCATATATTTGAACACTTAGTGACCAGGGAGTGGAACTCTTTGAAAGGATTAGAAGGATTAGGAGGTGTGGCTTTGTTGGAGTAGGTGTGGTTTTGTTGGAGGAAGTGGGGGTGGGCTTTGAGTTTTCAAAAGCCCTTTCCAGGCCCAGTCTCTCTGTGTCTCTGTCTCTGTCTCTCTCTCTCTCTCTCTCTCTCTCTCTCTCTCTCTCTCTCTCTCTCTCTCCCTGTCACCTGTGGATCAGGATGTAAAGCTCTCAGCTACTGATCTAGCATCTGCAAGCATGCCACCATGCTTCCCGCCATGATGATAATGGACTAAGCCTCTGAAACTATAAGCAATCCCCCGGTCAAATGCTTGTCTTTATAAGAGTTGCCTTGGCCATGTGTCTCTTCACAGCAATAGAAGAGTGACTAAAGACAGACTCTTATCCCTCCAGAAACACAAGCTCAAATAAACCCTTTCTGATATAAGTTGCTTTGGTCATGATGTCTTACCACAGCAACAGAAAAGTAACTAATACACTGAAATTCTCCAAGAATTCATGTAAATATTCCATGAGTTCTTTTAAGGAATGTAGTTAAGAACGTGGGAATTCGGGTCAGGAGTGTAGGACTCTAATAGACCACTTGCCTAGCATGCCTAAGGCCCTGGAATACATCCTCAACACCAATGGATGGATGGATGGATGGATGGATGGATGGATGGATGGATAAGTAAAAAAATAAAAAGTTGGAGGTGATCCAAAAACAAAGTCAAGTAGTCGGTCACACTACAGCCAGCCCTCAGTGACATCCTTTTTTTCCCCCCAGATTTTAGCAGTGTTGCAGTCCATGGTTAAACAAACTTAAAGATTAACTTTTGTGTTCCAGAACCTAAAAATGGCTACTTTATTCACCTGTTGTCTGATAGAGACTTCCTCTAAAGCCTCTCGGATAAAGACTTCACTTTTCTGTTTCAATTTCTTTCCTTCAATTCTTTCAGCCTCAGTCTCCTCCAGGCTTTTCCACTAACAAAGGACTAATGAACAGATGTCAGTGAAAGAACTAGAATGTCCCCACCACCCTGGACCCCCAGCATCCCAGCCTCACTGTGACCGTCACCCTGGACCCCATCCTCTCCGCCCCCCAGCATCCCAGCCTCACTGTGACCATCACCCTGGACCCCCATCCCTCCAATCCCCCCAGCATCCCAGCCTCACTGTGACCATCACCCTGGACCCCATCTTCTCCGCCCCCCAGCATCCCAGCCTCACTGTGACCATCA